GACGGGGTTTCACCATGTTGACCAGGATGGTCTTGATCTCTTGACCTCGTGATCCACCCGCCTCGGCCTCCCAAAGTGCTGGGATTACAGGCTTGAGCCACCGCGCCCGGCCAATGTCACTGTTTTTTAAAGTTAATATGTCACTGTTTAAATGTGTTGGTAAACACAAACTTTCTGTAGCAAAATGCTGAAACAAAACTATGTCTAAGGTCCTCAACTTTAGCTGCATAGGATCCTGAAGAGGTTTTTAAAAAACAATTGAATGAAATTCAGATTCAGTAAGCTATTAAACAGGTCTTACATTTCTTTAAAAGCTCTTGTTTTAGTAGACGCAGGGAAGCATATAGAGCCACACCGGAGAATGAGGCCTGAGCAAGGGCTTTTTTTTTTTTTTAAACACTCCTGATGATTTATATGTACCCAGTGTTAAGAACCATTGCAGTTTTCCTGGAATAGGCGGGAAAGAAAAAAAAACAAAAAAGAACCATTGCAGTCCAGGTACAGTAGCTTACACCTATAATCCCAGCACTCTGGGAGGGCGAGGCAGGTAATCACCTAAGGTCAGGAGTTTAAGACCAGCCTGGCCAATGTGGTGAAACCCCATCTCTACTAAACATACAAAAATTAGCTGGGCGTGGTGATGCACGCCTGTAATCCCAGCTATGTGGGAGGCTGAGACAGGAGAGAATCTCTTGAACCCAGGAGATGGAGGTTGCAGTGAGCCGAGATCAAGCCACTGTACTCCAGCCTGGCTGACAGAGCAAGACTCTATCTCAAAAAAAATAATTAAAAAAAAAGAACCACTGCAAATTAAAACCTCTGCATCCGGCTCCTCCTTATCCCCAAGAGTTTACTGCTTTTGCAAGCCACTCCATGAACTGAATTTACTTTTGATGTCATGAATCTAGAAGAGAACAAAGAGACAAAGTAGGGCCTGTTCTCTTAATGTGTCTTAATCTAGTTCCTACTTCCAAAAGGAAAACAATATCCAAATACACAAAATGCTTAGACCACAAGTGTGTAGGTATGCTGAAATGTACATATGTGAAAGGTATAAAAGGGCCAGGGGAAGTTAGCTTTCTTCAACCATAGTAAATGTGAAGGGTCTAGAGATCCTGTTTTGAGTATAAAGTAGCCAATTTGATCCTAGAGATAACTTAAGTACAGGAGAAGTGTTAACTCCTACGACCTTATAGGCAGGTCTTCAATAACACAGCAAAGAAACATGTATTGGGTATCTTTCATAGGGCTTTTTACATCTATCACCTCATTTTATTGCCAGCACAATATTCACTGTGCCCATTAATTGGATGAAGGTGTAAGTAAATGTGTTGGTATGTGTTCTAATTTGTGACCCTATAAGATATACATAAATCCAATCTGTAACACAAGGGAGTTAAATTATTATTATTATTTTTTTTCCATAAGTTACTGGGGTACACGTGGTATTTGGTTACATGAGTAAGTTCTTTAGTGGTGATTTGTGAGATCTTGGTGCACCCATCATCCGAGCAGTATACACTGCACCATATATGTTGTCTTTTATCCCTTGTCCTCCTCCCAAAGGAGTTAAATTAGAAAACCAAATAAGGTGGCCGGACGCGGTGGCTCACGCCTGTAATTCTAGCACTTTGGGAGGCCGAGGCGGGTGGATCACGAGGTCAAGAGATCGAGACCATCCTGGTCAACATGGTGAAACCCCGTCTCTACTTAAAATACAAAAAAATTAGCTGGGCATGGTGGCGCATGCCTGTAATCCCAGCTGCTCAGGAGGCTGAGGCAGGAGAATTGCCTGAACCCAGGAGGCGGAGGTTGCGGTGAGCCGAGATCGCGCCATTGCACTCCAGCCTGGGTAACAAGAGCGAAACTCCGACTCAAAAAAAAAAAAAAAAAGAAAAGAAAAGAAAACCAAATAAGATAATTTATTCTGCAACTATGAAGTGGCAATAACAGGGCTGGGCATGGTGGCTCATGCCTGTAATCCCAGCACTTTGGGAGGCCAAGGTGGGCAGATCACCTGAGGTTGGGAGTTTGAGACCAGCCTGACCAACATGGAGAAACACCGTCTCTATTAAAAATACAAAATTAGCCAGGCATGGTGGCACATGCCTGTAATCTCAGCTACTCAGGAGGCTGAGGCAGGAGAATCGCTTGAACCCGGGAGGCGGAGGTTGCGGTGAGCTGAGATTGCGCCATTGCACTCCAGCCTGGGTAACAAGCAAAACTCTGTCTCAAAAAAAAAAAAAAGACTCAGTATGCCTGGAAATAAAAATCTCATTATAAACAAATGGCTTCCCTCTCTCACTACATTCTTAAGTAGGTCATCAATGTTTCTCTTACCTTATTCTTCTCCTTATATTAATCCATTTCTTTTCAAATGCAGATTAAATTAGTTAAATCTAATACTCTTTTTCTGCTTCCACCCTTTTAAAGAGACTGATAACACTGAGAAAGAGAATTCTCCCAAGTAAATGTACTTGACTCTAGTACTTCAGCCTATAGACTGCCCAGGCAGACTTGGGTTGCAATCAGAAAATGTTAGATATCTCCAGAACATAAATGCGGAAGCAAGATTTCCTGCAACATAGGAGGGTGGTAAGATAATTAACTCAAAAGAAATTGATGGAACTGAACAATCAGAAAAAAGTTTATAAGGCTTTGTTAACATAATAGCTATTTGAAGGAAACTGGCAAATAAAATAAGCAGCAATTCATGTATAAATGAACAAAATTCTTGTGAACTGTACTTGAGAGACTTACTACCAGAGATTTCTTCATTTTGATTATTTTTTAAAAAGGCTTTGCGTTGTTTGACTTCAAGAGTTTAAAAAAACAGCCTAGAGTTTAATAAAAAATTACTTCTTGGAAAGTTCTAATCTGTCAATTTCTAGATTGATGCACAAAGGTTTGGCCAGTCAATCTGTGAGCAGGATTATAAACAGCAATGAACAACCTTGTCAGTCAACCTGAATAAATGCTAATTTCTGCCACTTATTTAGAAACAGATTTTCCAGGAGGCTGAGGTAGGAGAAATCACTTGAGCCTGGGAGGTGGAGGTTGCAGCGAGCTGAGATCATACCACTACACTCCAGCCTGGGTGACAGAGTGAGACTCTGTCTCAAAATTAAAAAAAAAAAAAAGAAAACAAAGAAACAGATTGTCACCTCCATTTAGCAGGAAGAGTGATTTAAGAACATGACATGTCATCAAACGGTACAAATGGGCACTTCTGAACTTCTGAATGATGAGTTAAATACATTTTCCATATCGCCACATGTTAATCTATTATTTAAAAGTGGCAGAGATATCTGTTGAATTTTATATTATTGAATGTTGAACTGAAATGTTGCTATATTATGGTTGTAAAGAATTACTAAAATGAAAAAGAACAAAGCTATGTGATAAATGTCTAAAGCTATAATAACAATAAGAAACAAAGCCAGGAGCAGTGGCTCTCACTTGTAATCCCAGCACTTTGGGAGGCCAAGGTGGGCGGATCATGAGCTCAAGAGATCAAGACCATCCTGGCCAACAGGGTGAAACCCTTCTCTACTAAATACATATAAATGAGATGGGCATGGTGGTATGTGCCTGTAATCCCAGCTACTCAGGAGGTTGAGGCAAGAGAATCGCTTGAACCCAAGGGGTGTAGACTGCAATGAGCCAAGACTGCGCCACTGCACTGCAGCCTAGCGACAGAGCAAGACTCTGCCTCAAAAAAAAAAAAAAAAAAAAGCACAAATCAAGGAAAATGAAAATAGCAGTATCTCCAAGCAAAGAGTAGAGCTACTTCAGATTTGGTGGTAAAAGAGAATACTGTACTAAAACTAAAGCCTTCAAAAGTTCTCCTAATTCATGGTTTGACTATCACCTCACTGAGAACCACAATTACCTTTTCGTCTTGACACTGTCATTGCCAAGGCAATGGATTCTATAATTAATGCTGAGCTTGAGACCAATGAAAGGGAAAGCAACTTATATGGCATCCACAGAGACATCTAAAAATAAAGCAGGGTAACAGAGTGGATGTCCAAAGAGGAAGGTATAATGACAGAAGAAAAATAATGGTGGTACATGAAGCACCTGAAATAATATAAGGCCTCTGTTTGAGGTCAACTAGGAATTAACAACAGCTTAGCTTATTATATGCTTCTAAATCTTCACATATGCATCTTTAAGAAGGATAAATGTCTTAAAGATCTCAATCACTTCACAGAGAAACTAAAATTAGAAAGCCTTCACTGTGGTTTTTAATCCTCTTTTATTGTATTAATAGTGGCATCAAAAGGTGAAAAGTCTCAAAAACAAAATACTTTTAAAACCATCTTGCCTATTTATATTTCTAATGTACATATTAATATAATACTTAAAATATGTAAAATATAGTACCTGAAACTGAACTCTTGGACACTGAATCAGAGACAAATTAGTACCAATTTTCCTTACGATACTTCGAGATGAACCATATGGCTTCCTAGACCAAAGTACCTGAGGAAGTAGGAAAAACCAAAAGCTTAATTACAAGATGTGAATTCCAACAGGCGTACAGAACTGTTAAAACAAAGCATTAGACAATTATTTGTATGACATATAACAGATTAATTACAGGATCAGAATGCTCTAAATGTTATGGCAAACAAGCTAATGTTTCTCAATCCAAAAATAAAGAATATATATATATATATATAAAATGAAATTTGATGTAAGGTATTATATAAAACTACAGAATAACTAGTAATTTTTAAATACTATACTTAGAGTTAAAAATTTTATTTTCATCAGGTTTTCATACTATTCTGCAACAGAAACACTACTGTATCTCTTCTGCTATATTTTTAATTTTAGAATTTTGATATACATAATTTTTCTTCAATATATGTTACTTTTGCTGTAACAGACTTTTCAAAACAATCCCAAACTAGTACAAAGTTCAGAATCTGAAAGTGTAGCATGCAGGGTGCTTCACGCTGTTCACTGCACAAGAATGCATGGCCAAGGGTGAGCAAAGGCTGAAATCCAGGCATACAGCTCCTGGGAGGCCTATTCCCCAGAGGAAAGGTAAGAAATTTCATCTGAGCAGTATTTCTCAGATGAAATCATAATAAACAAAGGACATTATGCTATGCTTAAAGACAAAAATGAACCCTCAAAGCAAAAAAAACAAAAAGCACACATGTTGAAAGTTAAATCATTACAAATTGTACCTTGAAACTTCTCCCCAAGTGTATAATCTTTCTTTAGAGAGAAAAATTATCCATCTGTTTTGAGTGCTACACTTGAAAGCCTGGACAGAAGAGGTAGAGAAAGGTAGTATGCTATTAAAAGCAATTTTAAAAGAAAAGAATAAGAATGACATGACTGTTATACTTAAATCATCAAACTTTAACATTCAATTATATCCTAAAGGCCGGGTGCAGTGGCTTCTGCTTGTAATCCCAGCTCTTTGGGAGACCGAGACAGGCGGATCACATGGATGTGCCAGGAGTTTAAGACCAGCCTGGCCAACATGGCAAAACCCCATCTCTACTAAAAATACAAAAATTAGCCAGCCATGTTGGCACACACCTGTAATCTCAGCTGCTTGGGAGGCTAAGGCATGAGAACTGCTTGAATCCTGTAGGTGGAGGTTGCAGTGAGCCAAGATCACACCACTGCACTCCAGCTGGGGCCACAAAGTGAGTTTGTCTCAAAAGCAGAAAAAAACAAAACAAAAAACAATTATATCCTAAAGACTAAACAGAATCAAATCAGTTGAGTATGAATTCTGGAGAAGTGGATACTATCCTTTTTTTAAAGTCACTCCACGATCATTCTACTTTAAAGAATGGAATCACCCCAATATAAACAGCATAACCAAACAACTGGTCACTGTAAATAGTGGAGGCTCCAAAACCTAACTCAAACTAGCCCCTTAGATAAAATCATATACAACTTATAAAACGAGCACAGAAACTATCTGATTTCTTAAATTTTAGCAATTAAGTCTAATTCAGGGATAATAACAAGAATCAGTGTGGGGTTCAGGGCGGGGCACAGTAGCTCACGTCTGTAATCTCAGTGCTATGAGAAACTAAGGCAGGAGGATCATGTGAGGCCAGAAGTTTGAGACCTGCCTGGGGTCTTTTTGTGAGACCCCCATCTCTATGAAAAATTAGAAAATTAGCCAGCTGTGGTGGCGCATGCCTGTCGCCCTAGCTACAGGAGAGTCTGAAGCAGGAAGGTTCCTTGAGCCCAGGAGTTTGAGGCTGCAGTGAATTATGACTATACCACTGTACTCTAGCCTAAGCAACAGAGTGAGACCATGCCCCTCCACAAAAAAAACCAACAAAGTAGAAATCACAGAAGGATGTATAATACCCCTGGCACCTACCACAGCTTTCATATAATTTTTAACAGATATACTCCAAGGTTTCACTGAATCTTACCTAGAAGAGTTCCAAAAAGTACTTATAACCTATACTGACTCCAATAACCAACAAAAATGATAGCTCTTGCTTTGGAAATGTAAATAAAAAGGATGGCAAAGACTAGAAAACTGGTAAGTAGAAAGGAAGGTAACAATATTAAAATATGAATAGTATACAAAGAATATTAAAAGGCAAAGTTACTCTGAAGCTTAGAACAAAACATCATTCCCATCAATAATCATACAGGATTATGACATAAGTAGCCTTAATAACATGTGAGGACTAAGGGAACAGAAAACCTCTTACTAGAGAGAAATGGGAAGCCTCGAAGTTCTACAACATCAACATCAGATCACCCACCAAAAAAGGAACAAACATGAGCAAGTAATTCTAAGACAGTATTTAAGGAAAGTCTTTACCTTATACATTTTTTTTTTTTGAGACGGAGTTTAGCTCTTTCACCCAGGCTGGAGTGAAGTGGCATGATCTCAGCTCACTGCAACTTCCAACACCCAGGTTCAATTGATTCTCTTATCTCAGACTCCTGAGAAGTTGGGAATACAGGGGAGTGCCACCATGCCTGGCTAATTTTTTGGTATTTAAAATAATTACAGGTGATTACAGGTGATCCACCTACCTAAGCCTCCCAAAGTACTAGGATTACAGACGTGAGCCACCATGCTGGGCCCTACCTTAGACATTTTAATAGATCCTGATCTTTCACCAATAAATCCATAAGGCAAAAGTAAGTACATCATTTAGTCATTTCTCTTGTTGTCTTCTATTTAGTCACAAGTCAAAACTCCTATGATGTAGTAAAAGTGGAATGCTATTTGTGTATCATAAGGTGACAATTAGATAGTCTAAAGTGAAATCTTTCTCCTCTCCAGCAAGCAAAGGTCCTGCCTGGAGATAAAGAGGACAAAAAGCTCACAAAGAAAAATTTAGAAAGGATTTGTCAAGGTCAGGAACTAATGTTTCTGCCAGCTTTTAGCATTCCTCACTATGCATGCTGCAGGGCAAAATATCAACTGTTATGTTTCCATCTGTTTAATATCAGAAGAATACCAGGTGCTTTCGACAAGAGAAGTGGCCAATGATTCAGCTTTTTTTTTTCTTTTTTTTTCTTTTTTTTTTTAATAGATGGAGTCTTGCTCTGTTGCCCAGGCTGGAGTGCAGTGGCACAGTCTTGGCTCACTGCAACCTCCGCCTCTCAGGTTCAAGCAATTCTGTCTCCGCCTCCCGAGTAGGTGGAATTACAGGCAGATTCCACCACACCCAGCTAATTTTTGTATTTTTAGTAGAGACGGGGTTTCACCACGTTGGCCAGGCTGGTCTTCAACTCCTGACCTCAGGTGATCCAACCGCCTTGGCCTCCCAAGTGCTGGCATTCCCGGCATGAGACCACCGTGCCTGGCCAATTCAGCTTTCAATTATAAGGAATAAGTAGATTATTTACGTATCCTCTACAAAGTTAAAGGAAAAGAACAGATTGCTTTATGTGATTATTTTTTCAAGCATACACAGTAGACTAACAATGTGTTCTTCTGTTACTTGTAAATTGCATTGTACTTAGCACCAATAAATATCAAATAAGGGTCTGTGTAAACTAATGACTAGAATATTTAGAATGAGGAGTCATAACCTTTATTGGATGGTAGGAAAAAGTGAGGGGAAAGAACAGCTAATTTCTAGGAACTCTAAAACTAGGTCTGACTACTTTTCTATTTTTTTCTATTCATCCCTCATAGAGGGGGAGAAATTGTAAATGGCTGTGCAGAAACAGTGAACAGATGGTACTGAAAAGTCACCATCTGTGCATTGGGAGGCTGTATGACCCAAGTGCATCTCCTACCATAACTTGTGGCTGAACTATGTCTTGTCAGTATGCTAGTTTAGAGAAGGAAAGACTTCCTCCGAACATAAACTGTCATTAATATTTCTTTAGATATAAGAGAGAAGGCAGGGAGAAAATGGTCATTATAAGATAATCCAATTTCATTAAAAAAAAAAAAAGACAATCCAATATCATTAAGAAATAGCTAAACAGAAAAACCATGCTGTATCTATGAAAACTGCTTTTAAATAACTAACAGTGTGTGTGTGTGCGCGCGTGTGTGCGCATGCATGTCTGTGTCTAGTAATGACAGTCCATAACATTTAGCAACAGTGTTTGAAAGTGATGACAGCAAGGAGGAGGATGACAACAGGAAAGTAGTTTGTTCTTTTTTAACATTGTGAAATGCTATTGTAGAAAGTGTTGACGTGTGAGGCTGAAATCTGAAGCTGTCATCTGTCTCATCCATGATGACTGCACTCAAGCTTTATGTGGTAATTCATTTACTAAGGACTAGTTTAACATATTTTATTATTTGAGGGCAACTTTTAGCAGGAAAAACTATAAACTTAATTCCAAGAAAATATGTTTTCTGGCCAGTTGCAGTGGTTCACACCTGTAATCCCAGCACTCTGGGAGGCCGCAGAGGGTGGATCACCTGAGGTCAGGAGTTCGAGACCAGCCTGGCCAACCTAGTGAAAGTCTGTCTTTACTAAAAATACAAAAATTAGCCAGGCTGTGATGGCAGCTACCTATAATCCCAGCTACTCGGGAGGCTGAGACAGGAGAATTGCTTGAACCCAGGAAACAGAGGCTAGAGTGAGCCAACAACGTACCACCTGCACTCCAGCCTGGGCAACAGGGCAAGATTTCATCTCAAAAAACAAACAAACAAAAAAGAAAATGTGGTTTTCAAGACAAACTATGTGATATTAATGCATTAACGCAGAGGTTCGTGTATCCCCAAAATTACACACAAAATTGGGTACATGTCATTTTTCTGGGAAGAAGTTCCACATTGTTAATCAAGTTTTAAAAAGTCAGGACAGAACAAAATGTAAATTCTTAATTCTCAGGGAACTAAGGGAAAATTAAAAGTGTGTGTTGGTAAGCGGGAAGGAATTGAAATGGGGAAATACAATTCTGTAACAATTTTTAAATCCTTAACAAAAGATCAACACTTTCCTCAGTTCTCTTCTTCCTTACTCACATTCCTCCTCCAAAGCACAAAAGGAAAACCAGAGTACAGTTCTTATGTATTACTATATTGCTAATACAAATTATTATAGATACTTGCTATAGTAACTTTACTTCCAATATAAAATACTGAAATTAATCAGAATCACATTAGCTTCACACTATTCTTACTTCCTGCAGTTTAAAGATATTTTTACCTGGGGACATAAAAAGTTTGGAGATACGTGAGCACGTGGTTTTAAATTCAAACAAATGTTGAGGGAAAATAAAAGGCAGTAAAGAGAAAACAGGCCATTGCAGCATATAGGCCTGGCTTTAAAATTAGCTTCTACCAACTTACTGCCTGTGTGAAGCTGGCCAAATTATTCATCCCTCTATGCTTCTGTTTTCTCACCTATAAAATGGAGACATTATCTACTTCATGAGCCTACAAGCATTAAATGATTTAAGGTATTATTAGAAAAAAAAAAAAAGAAGAAAAAAAGTAACAAAAAAACGAGTTAAGGTATTATTATACTGGTTTCAGTTTTGTTTTGCTTTTGAGACAGTCTTGCTCTGTTGCCTAGGCTACAATGCAGTGGCATGATGGCAGCTTACTGAAACCTCAAGCCGGATTCTCCTGCCTCAGCCGCCCAAGTAGCTGGGACTATGAGCATGTGCCACCATGCCCGACTAATTTTTGTATTTTCAGTAGAGACAGGATTTTACTGTGTTGGCCAGGGTGGTCTCAAACTTCTGACCTCAGGTGATCCACTTGCCTCAGCCTCCCAAAGTTCTGGGATTGCAGGTGTGAGCCACTGCATGAGGCCATTTATAATGTTTCCAGTAAACATTAACAGTCATCTTTCCCTTCTAAGAGATAGCAAAGTACACTGAAAAGAGAAAGGATTTTGGAATCAGAATTGGGTTCATATTATAGTTCTACTACTTAGATAACTTTGGTCAAGACAGTTAAATACCTTAAACCTCAGGTTTCTCATTTGTAAAGCGCATTGTTCTACCGAACATTGGCAATTTATGTAAAAGCACTGTGTACAGTAAGCACTGGCATAGTAAGCCAAGTAGGATGGCTATTACAGTAGTGTTAGCGTGCAGAGTCAACAACAATGAGCCAATCACCACTGGCTGTTCCAATGGGAAAAATAAAACAAAACAAAATCTGGTCTAAAAGCTTGCAATTTCTTCTTTTTATTTTTTTGAAAGCAGGGTCTCACTTTTATATCCTAGGCTGGAGTGCAGTGGTATGATCTCAGTTGACTGCAACCTCCGCCTCCCAGGGTCAAGTGATCTTCCCATCTCAGTCTACCAAGTAGCTGGGACTATAGGCACATGCCACCATGCCCAGCTAATTTTTGTCATTTTTGTAGAGATGCCATCTCACCATATTGCCCAGGCTAGCCTCTAGCTCCTAGAATCAAGTGATCCTGCCACCTCAGCTTCCTAAAGTGCTGGGATTACAGGCGTGCCAGCCTTTTTTTTTTCTCAGAAAAAAAAAAAAAAAAACAGATTAAATAAAGGATGAAGGCAGTTTTCACTCTTGGAATGCTTTCAAGCACAGTATCAAAAGGCTGGGCGTGGTGGCTCATGCCTGTATTTCCAGCACTTTGGGATGCTGAGGTAGGTGGATCACCTTAGGTCTGGAGGTGAAAACAGATGAAACCCCATCCCTACTAAAAACACAAAATTAGCTGGGCATGGTGGCAGATGCCTGTAATCCCAGCCTCAGAAAGCTGAGGCAGGAGAATCGCTTCAATCCAAGAAGCAAAGGTTGTAATGAGCCGGAATCACAGCACTGCACTCCAGCCTGGGCAACAGAGCAAGACTCCATCTCAAAAACAAACAAACAAAAAAACTCATTTAAAGGCACATCTTGTTTTATCACACTTCACTTTACTGCAATTCAGATACATTGTTTTTTTTCTTTTTAACCAATTTAAGGTTTATGGCAACCTTGTGTCAAGCCAAGTCTATTGGCACTATTTCTCCAACAGCATGTGCTCATTTCACATCTGTGTCATGTTTTGCTGATCCACACAGTATTTGAAGCTTATGCTATTTTTTTTTTTTTTTTTTTTTTTTTTTTTTTTTTTTTTTTTTTTTTTTTTTTTTTTTTTTTTTTTTTTTTTTTTTTTTTTTTTTTTTTTTGGAGACAGAGTTTTGCTCTTGTTTCCCAGGCTGGAGTGCAATGGCACAATCTTGGCTCACTACAACCTCTGCCTCCTGGGTTCAAGTGATTCTCCTGCCTCAGCCTCCTGAGTAACTGGGATTACAGGCACCCAACACCATGCCCAGCTCATTTTGTATTTTTAATAGAGATGGTGTTTCTCCATGTTGATCAAGCTGGTCTCAAACTCCCGAACTCAGGTGATCCACCTCCGTCCGCCTCTGAAAGTGCTGGGATTACAGGCGTAAGCCACCCTGCCCAGCCAGTTATTTTTTTAATTATGCTTTAAATTCTGGGAAATTTGTGCAGAATATGCAGGTTTGTTACATAGGTATACATGTGCCGTGGTGGTTTGCTGCACCCATCAACCCATCATCCAGGTTTTAAGCCTCGTATGCATTACATATTTGTCCTAATGCTCTCCCTCCCCTTCTCCCCGCCTGCCCTCACCACAGGCCCCAATTTACGCCTTATCATTCTATCTATTATGGTGATCTATGATCAGCGATCTTTGATGTTATTTTTTACTACTTTAATTGTTTTGGGGTGCCACACGCACACATAAGATGTGAACTTAATCGATAAATATTATGTGTGTTTTGATTGTTCCACCTACCAGCTATTCCCCGATCTCCGACCTCCCTATTCTGAAACAAAACAAGACTGAAATTGGGCCAGTTTAACCCTGCAATGATCTCCAAGTGGTCAAGTGAAAAGAAGCGTCTCATTGTGTGTCTCTCACTTTAAATCAAAAGCTAGATAGAAAGTATTAAACTTAGTGAGTAAGGCACGTTGAACGGAGAGGCCGAAAACTAGGTCTCTAGCACCAAATAGTTAGCCAAGTTGTGAATGTAAAGGAAAAGTTCTTCAAGGAAATTTAAAGTGCTACTACAGTGAACACATGAATGATAAGAAAGCAAGAAAGCCTTATTTCTGATATAAAGAAAAATTGTATCCTGGATAAAATTTCAAACCAGCCACAATATTCCCTTAAGCCAAAGCCTACTCCAGAGCAAGGTTCTAACTCTCTTCACTTCCATGAAGGCTGAGAGAAGCAAGGAAGCTACAAAAGAAAAGTTGAAGCTAGCAGAAGTTGGTTAATGGGACATAAGGAAAAAAAGCCATTTCCATAACATAAAAGTGCAAGATGAAGAAGCATCAAGTGTCAACGTGGTGAAACTCCGTCTCTACTAAAAATACAAAAAACTTAGTGTGGCATGGTGGCACATGCCTGTAATCTCAGCTACTCAAGAGGCTAAGGCAGGAGAATCACTTGAACCTGGGAGGCACAGGCTGCAGTGAGCCAAAAGTACGCCATTGTACTCCAGCCTGGGCAATAGAGCGAGACCATCTCAAAACAAAAAAAAGTGATTAGCTATATTTCACTATCACTTTATAGTGGTGATCTGAAATCAAACTCACAGTATTTTCAAGGTATGCCTGCATATGTCAGATCAGTGGGAAAATACACGTTAATCACGGAAAGATAGAGTTATGAAAGCTTCTTTTATTTTCAGGTGCCCAAATATAAAATCTTGAAAAATTCCTCTATATTTTTATTCTTAGGCAACAAGCTAAAAAAAAATTGGAAATTAGTTAACCCTAAAAGATTACATTGTTTTATGTTGAAAGAAAATTTATTTTTATATGAATTTTCAGCTGATTAAAGTTGATGATTATATGCTAGCTTCGATAAGTTAAAAATAGATTTTGCAGGCCAGGCATGGTGGTAATCCCAGCACTTTGGGAGGCTGAGGCAGGTGGATCACTTGAGGTCAGGAGTTCAAGACCAGCCTGACCAACATGGTAAAATCCCGTCTCTACTAAAAATACAAAACACTAGCTGGGTGTGGTGACAGGCGCCTATAATCCCAGCTACTTGGGAGGCTGAGGCAGGAGAATCACTTGAACACAGGAGGCAGAGGTTGCAGTGAGCCAATTGCGCCACTGCATTCCAGCCCGGGTAACAGCGTAAGACTCCGTCTCAAAAAAAAAAAAAAAAAAAAGTAGATTTTGCCAATCCACAATTACTAGGAAGGACTCTCAGTTGTAATTATAATATTTTGAGCAAGTTAATCCTCCCTTAGCTGGTCCATTCTTTGATAAAAGGCACCCATTTCCCAGCTTAAAGTTAATAAGCTAAATGAAGCATGCTATCTGTGCCTGAAACAGAATTCTGCACTTTGGCCTCAGTTAACACTACTCACATTGACCTGTCTTGGGGTGTGAGGCTGGTAACAGAGCAAATATATAAGAAACTAACCATTATTGAATGTACCTACACTATACAAGCCACTGTGCTAGATACTTTACATACACTGTCATTTAATCCACAGGTAACTCAGCAGTAGCAATTCTTATTCCTACTTTGCAGATGAAGAGAATAACTGGCAGAGACAAAATTCAGATCCAAGTGTGTTTAAATCCAGGACCCACAATCTTACCAATAAACTATACTTCTTACTAAAATTACAAGTAGAAATTAGAAAGGTTTGGTTTTTGAAAATCATAAATAACAAAAATTTCCCTTCCTTCTGCAAGCAAGAGAAAAATAAACTTTTGCTGTCATTACTAAAATGTCAATCCATACTATGAAGAAACTGAGCTAAGTTTTTTGTTGTTGTTGTTGTTTTCTAAAGATAGGGTCTTGCTCTGTCACTCAGGCTGGAGTACAGTGGTGTAATCTCAGCTCACTGCAACCTCTGCCTCTCAGGCTCAAGTGATCCTCTCACCTTAGCCTCCCAAGTAGCTGGGACTAGAGGTATGTGTCACCATGCCCAGCTAAATTTTTTAAATTTTTTGTAGAGACAAGGTCTCACTATATTGCCCAGGCTGGTCTTGAATTTCTAGGCTCCAGCCATCCTCCTGCCTCCCAAAGTGCTGGGATAACAGGCCTGAGGACTGTGCCTGGCCACTAAGTGAAATGTAAAACACAGGAACATATATCTGAAAGAGATAAAAAAACCAATAAATTTACAAGTCATTTTCCTATTGCTTATCCTCAAGCTAATGATCTCAAAATTATGCAGCTATAACAAAGATAATTGTATTTGGTTCTCTACTTTTATCTCCAAAGAAAACAGATGTAACCTTGAAAGTTGGGGAGATTCAAAGTTCAGGCACAAAAACAAAAAAGTAAAAGTGTGCTAAAAAGTATAACCATATTCTGCCAGGTACAGTGGTTCATGCCCATAATCCCAGCATTCTGGGAGGCCGAGGCGGGCGGTCAGGAGTTCAAGACCAGCCTGGCCAACATGGCAAAACCCTATCTCTACTAAAAATACAAAAATAAGCCGCCCGTGGTGGTGCGCACCTGTAATCCCAGCTACTCAAGCAGCTGGGTCAGGAGGATCGCTTGAACCTGGGAGGCAGAGGTTGCAGTGAGCTGAGATTGCTCCACTGAATTCTAGCCTGGGCAATAGAGCAAGACTCCCTCTCAAAA